TCCTGGGAGTGCTTCTCAAATATAGAGCCATTCATACCCTGAACACACAAATATTCTATACTTCCAACACTGTATTAGTTGAGAATGTTCCTTGCTAGGGAAAATGGGCAGAGCAGGATAAATTAATCAGTAAAGATTAAATCACAGTGCTCAGAATGTAGTAAGTTTGGTTGCTAATAAAATAATTTCACGTTGTGCAAACATCAGGTAACCTGTGTGCCTAATGCTAATAAGTCACTTGAGGTACACTTAAGGAAGCAACTCTGACTGCCCACCACATGTACCATTCTATGCCCTAATTTTCTCCTTTTACCTATTTTCTTTTAAATCTCCCTCTTGTCTATACTTTAGACCTTTAAAATACTAGACTGCTGGGCTCCACTGGACAAGTTTTTAGGCTGTATACATTCATTCACTCACCACCATATGAAATATAGAATAAAGGCTTATGGTTCATGCAAGAAATGTAGGCAAAATTACTTTCTCGAAGAGTAGTAGCCCTTTTATTGCATTTAGGACTAGAAGTTAGATAATAGATAATTGATAGATTAGAGTCATTAAAAGGGTCCTGCATTGCTTAAACATTGTATTCTAACATCAAGCATGTGAGTGCACAGTGTATGCTCCCCTCAGCAACCCTTGTCTAGCTGCCTCCTGAAATAGCCACCGTGCTGCAGGCTCTCTGTGGAACCCCGAGAGGTCAACGACAAGCCAAATGCTATGACTAGCACCTTCCTCACTCACACTTTATTGATTTGTGTAACATGAAATTATGTAACGAGCATCAAGGGTTTGGGAATAAATGCAACTGACTTGGAAAGTCAGAGGGGATCCCCAAACAACAGTTATATATATGAAGGAGTATAAGCAAAATACAGGCATTTGGGCACGCATCTGGCCTAGGGGCTGCTTTCTAAGGGAGCTGTGCAAGGTGGTGATAGCAATCGCTGATGCCAAGTGAAACCTGGGTCATTGGTACCCATTGAGGTCAACCAGAAATGAGGTGGGGCCTGGAGTAAATGCTGCCAGGTGCTACACTGACCTCTGAGCCAAAATTTCGGCTTCCTCATTCTTCCAAAACTAACCAGGGCTGGGCTCCAGGGAGTAAATGCCAGAATCAGACTTCAGAACTGGTGAAATAATCACCATGATAATGAACAGCATTTATGGAGCACTTACTTTGTTCTGGGCCCTGGGTTTATGAGATTCAAATGCATAACCTGTATATAGCCAAGCTATGTCATGGTCCAGTCATGACATGGAAATGCCGTCAGAGACACAAAAGCCCAGCAACCAAGTAGCAGTTGAAAGTAATTTTAGTCCTAGTTTCACTCTCTTGAAAATAGAGAGCAAAACCACACACTGTTAAACTTTTTAAAAATCCTCCACCAACATGAGAGAGGTGGGTTTTTATAGAGAAGACGCAGAGGCATAGTATAGAAATTATTTGATTAGTGATAGCTTAAATGGCTGCCCTATTTGGGAAAGCCTAGTTGGCTGTTGGTGATTGGTTGTCCTTAGGTTTCATTTTCTCAGATTGCATGTGTTGACTCTAGTTTAGATTTTGGGTTGCTTACATAGCCTACCAAGGCACTAGAGCCACTTCGTCTAATGGCCTCCTTGTTTAATTACATTAACAATGCAAAATTCACAAGGCATGAGGCTCTCTGAATGGCCCTGTTTCCTTCATGCGGAAGAGAATATTTCTTTCTCTTGTATCTCAGAAGAATGGTTATGTCCCATCTTTTTAATCTCTAGAATTTTCCCCCTTATTGGTGAACTTCACAATTTAGGAAGTTAGTCTGGAAGCAGTATAAATAAATGACCAATTATGGGGGGGGGGGGCAAAAAGAAAGAATAGAAAGACAGTGAAAAGCTGTGGTAAGCTTTCCAGGGATGGTGAGTGGCAGTGACAATAGAGAGAAGCAATATAGAGCAATAGAGAGAAGTGAATATGGTAATTTGTTTGATGGAGTGCAAAGAAGATAAGATTGGGGGTTAAGTATGAGGCAAGGAGATTCCTGGCTTGAGCAGCTAAGTGATGATAGCTATTACTGATATGGGATTCAAGTTTAGAGAGAAAACATTTAAAACTTCATTTGGAATATGAAGTTTGAGATAACTGTGAGACTTCCAAGTAGAGATATCTAAGAAGCATTAAAAAGAAGCTTCTGAGGTGGAGATATAAATTTAGAAAATGATTCCACCTGAATGGTATTCAAAGTCAGGCAGTGAAAGAAACCATCTAGGAAGAGAGAACAGAATGAAGACAGAAAAGGAATTTGTTCTAAGAAACTTTAAAGATTTCTGGTTGGGAGAAAGATAAAGAGCCATCAATGAATTGAATTGTGGAAAGATGAGGACAAATGGAGACAGAGAAAACCAAGAGACTATGGTAATAAGAAGCAGAGACAATTTCAGAAAGGAGAAAGTCAATTATATTAAACTCTGTTAAGGGGCCAAATAAGAGAAGTACTCGAAAGTATCTATTGCTCTTTGCAACATGGAAGTTATTGATGACCTTCGAGAGGACTGTTTCAATGGAGAGGTGAAAGCAGAAGCAAACCTAGAGAGTTAAATGGAGCTTAAAACCAAAGACAGTTTAGACAAGTCTCTAAAGAAATTTGACTATGAAGGGAAGAAAATGAGTCGAATGGTAGGTTCTTTTTGCAGGTGGTGGTGGTAGGGGGGTGTTGTTTTTTTAAGATATGGAAACCTGCTTTTAAATGATGATGGGAAGGAATCTGTAGAAAGGAGAGGTTAAAGAAAAGGTAATAAGAGACAGAATACATGGTGGTAAAATGTCCCAAGGAAAAGGAGACTGGATGATACAAGTGGAATAATGGACCTTGGGTAGAAGGAAAGAGACATCAGGAAGGAGGTTGGGAGGAGCTGGGTTAAGATGCAGGTAGATTTGCAGATTTGGCTAAAGTAGTTCCCGTCTGAAGGCTTCTATCAAGTTTATGAAGAAGCCCTTAAAGGTTATCTGCTGAGAATGGGGACTATAAAGAGGAGTTGGAGATTAGAAAAGAATGAAGAAGATTTGAAGTAGGCATTGAAAAGAGCGGGGAAGTAACATATGAAAGAGAGACATATTTAGATTACTGGGCAGTGGTGAGAATTCATTTGAGATTGGATTTGTCTTGTTGTATACATATTGACTCCATTAGGGCTCAGCTATTAGTGAGGGCTTTGGAAAGACAGAGTTGGTTATGGTTGTATTGGATGGATATCAAGGAACTGGTAAGAGAATAATTGAAAAGATGTACTGTGGAATCTAAACTGGTTGTAGAGGAAGTGAAGACAGGAGATGGTTAAAAACAAAACAAAAAACATATATAAGCCAATGGACTAGAGGTTGTGATGAGAATAAGCTAGTAAGTTCAATGACGAAATCATAGGAGTAACAATTGTGATTAGAGATTTTGAAGGTGAGACTGTGGAGAGTGATGAAAAATAAAAACCAGGTGTAACCCTGGAAGTGGGGGACTAGAATGTGGTAAAGATCATTGACAATGGGGAAGTCAAGGAACTGAGAAACCAGACATCCTCCCAGACCCCTTGATCAAGGTTTTCTCACACACAACCTTCTAAATGTTTTATATTTTTCCTTTCTTATTTAAATTATTAATCCACCTGGAACTGATGTTTGTGTATAATATGAGATTACCATTTTTATGTTCTTCTATTTGGATAACCAACTGTCCTGGGGCCATTTGTTGAATAGTTTAGTCTCTGAATACTCCTTGAATTCCTTCCTTCCAATGCTATTCCTGATTCCTGTAGCTTGAAGTATTACAGTACCCTTCAGTCTCTCCTCTCTACATATTCTTTAAGTTGCCATAAAAGACATCTTTCAAAAATACAAATTTGATCATGTCAACTCTCTTGATTAAAGTGCTTAAAATTTTTTCTGTGTTACATTTAGAATAAAAGCCAAACTCCTAATCTGGCCATATTTAAGCTGTTTCACAGTATTTCTCCTTACAGTATTTCTTTCCTTTCAAATCACCCTTATTTTCTAACATTATCCACACTTTCACTCAAATATTACTGTTTAGGTAATATATGACTCAATTAAATGTTAAATCTTCATTAGAACTACTAATTATGTTAATGAATGACACATCTAAAAAGTTCTAATTCATTTATTTGAAATTTATTGGACATCTCCTATGCATAAGGCACTATATGGTACTCTAAGTTTCAGAGTTTGCAATCTAAAGAACAGAAAGCATAAATCCCAGTATCTTTGAAGAATGGAGGAATTTAAGTATAGCAACATACATTTGAGCCAATTGCTGAGAGAGAAATGGCATTTTGTTTGATGGAAATCTGGAAGTGTTGTCAAAAAGTTAGGTCATGAAAGATGGTTAAAATTTAGAAAGCCAGAGAAGAAGATGGAGGTGCATTTTAGGTAGAGGGTTAGCTTCAATCGAGGCAAGAGAAATTGGGAAGTGTGACCTTGGAGTACAAAATAGAGCAGGAGAAAGACAAATGACTAGAAGGGTAAACTGAGGCCAGAGAACAAAAATTCTTTAAGGTTAGTAGACTGGCCTCTAGCTAGCATTGAGAGTCAATGATAATCTCCATTAAGGGACTGATATAATTATGTTGTGACATGATCGGGTGAAATTGAATGCAGAGATTAAATCTAAGAGGATGCACTAGGCATATGTTGGCTTATCGCAGGAAGTGGGCAAGCCAAAAAGAATGCAAGAGAAATTTTAAAGTAGAATCAATAGCAGTTAGATGACCAAAGAAAGGAGAAACTTGTCTAGCTCAGCTCCAGAAAAGAAAAAAGTAAGAATTTCATGAAAATTTCCTGCATCTGACTAAACATCGTCTATGTTTGGATTTGCTCAAACAGACTTTCTTGTACCTCTTTTTGGTGACTTTAAAAAATATTTAATATTTAAAAGTATTCTATGGCCTAACTTTATGTCTCTAGATTAACAGTTTTATTCTTATTTTCCTTCTCCCCTCCTTATGTGTGACAGCTTCTACTGCACATGGTTGGGTCCCCTGATCAGGACCTCCAGGAAGCTGCAGCTGGTTGCATATCTAACATCCGCAGGCTGGCTCTTGCTACGGAAAAGGCAAGATACACTTGAAATTTGAACAGACATTTCAAGCTATCAAATTTTACATGACACAGATCATATCACTCCCATGGCCAGGAAGCTGAAATTAGGAAACATTTATTAGCAGATCCTTTACAAGCAGACAAATGCCTGAATGAAAACATATGGATGAAAAATATGAAGGATATTGTTCATGCAAAAACTGATATTTTTGTTCTATTTAATGTTTTAAGCATTTGTATGTAATGAAATGTAAAGCCAATAAATTTTTGATGATTTTCCAGGAATCTGAGAATATATATATCCAGTATTTTTTTTCAGTGATGCTTTTGTATTTGTGAAAATTTTAATAAAAGATATGGTCTTCCAGTGTGCAGTACTATAGTGGATGAGTTTTTAGAATCCCCTTTCTGTTAAACCTATCTAACAGTCTTGTCATTATGGTTTTGTCGTTTTGATCACTTGCAACCCAGGGGAGAGTTCTGAAGAGATGTGCTGATTTCACAAACTGTTATTAAATAGAATTCAGAATTAAGCAGCTGGACTTGAGAGATCATCCCGAGGTCATTCCAACTTCCCCCTAAATCTATTAAACATCTGAGAAGATAATGTGCAACTGTCACTTGACCAGATCATGCAAATCACAAAAACATAAGCAATGCATGAGTTGTGTGTTTTTTAACTTTTGCATTTACACAGCATAAACGATGATACATTTTATTTCCCTCACAGGATTCACCAACACTTTTATTGAAAGAATGAACTTGTGCTGTGGTGTCAAGATAATATTACTTCACATAAAATTGCTTTGAATTTCTGTATTTGTTTTCAGCACACAAAGTACTGTTTAAAAAGTGGCTACAAAGGATTAATAGCATTTTATCAGGTTATAGAAACATTAGAAGCCACTTAAAAGAATCACATATGTAACCTCAGTGTACTGAAATGTTTGGGAACTAACTGTGCAAGCATCACCAGGAAAATAACTTTGCATGCATCAGCTCTGTAAACAGACAGTCTAGATTAAAGCTTTAAAAAGCAGGCAAGGGGGTTTTATGGGAAAATATTAAGTACTGTGTATGTTTGTCATAACTTGCAAATGATTAACTAAATTGAGCTGAATGTAGATAATGTATATGAAATGAAAAGCCTGTACAGAATGAAATTACCAGTGATAGTTTCTACGATGAAAAAGCTAAGGAATTTCTGAGAATTTTAAGGTTTTATAAAACACCAATTCATCATCATTGGTTTTAAAAGGAGGTTATAGAAGAGAATAATAGAAACAAGGAGATGATGTGAATACTAAGAATTAAATTTAAATAATAGTGTAAATCCTTTAACTGTCAAAAGTGTATATTTCTAACATTAAAGTTACCATGTGGCTGTGTTTCACTAACATTAAAAACACATCTAAAGAGATCCAGGATGGCAGTGGAGTAGGTGGAAGTTACACTGACCTACTCCCAGGATCAAACTGGAATTACAGTTAATATAGAACAGTCAACCTGAGTCACAAACTGAAGACTAGCTAAAAAGAAATCTTATAAGTGAGGTTTTACAGAAGCCACTTTGATACTGATAGAGTAGGGGAGACAGTTAAAGGTCTAGCCGCGTACCCACATGCAGTGCCTAAGAATCCAGAGGAATATCTCAGCTGTAAAGGCTCCCCTTAGGAGTGTGCGGTCTCAACCCCATCCCTGGCTCCCAAGCCCAGAGGACCAGAGCCCAGCAGAGGAGACCACATAACATCTGGCTGTGAAAATCAGCAGGGATTCTGCCCACCAGGGACAGACGCAAGTCAGATTCCCTTTTAAAAGGCCAGCAAAAAATCTCATCCATAGCCACTCACCTTGAGCTCCAATGGAGGGAGGGTGGCTGGGAATAGAATAGTGTTGTGCGAGGAGAGACTGGGTTGTACGGCTCTAGGGAGCGAGCTGAAGGAGACAGCCCTCAAGGTCCCTGTGCTGAGTCCCTCAGTTGCAGACACCATCTTTCTTGGGTCTAGCACTCCCTTCCATATGGTATCAGCCTGGGGAATGCAATAGCTCCATCCTTCCTCCTCCCTGTCACCCTCCCCTATGGAATTCACACCCTGTGGAAGAGTCAGCTGCCTGGGGTATAGAGGTACAGGCAAACTCAGGGGGGTATCAGAGACTGAGTTGTGTGGCTCTGGGGTGGGAGACATTCCCTATACCTTCCCATGAGCCTGACCAATGACAACCCTTCCTGGGAGATCTAATAGCCCCATTCTCCAGACTCCTGGGGGCCCCACCCTCTTGAGCTCAGGATTTCCACAGGGTTTCCACTCCAGACTTGAGTTCTGTGGCTCTAGGAATGGCCCACTTTTCCCCCGCATACCTGACTGGTGCAGAGACCTCCATCACATAGCCAAATCTTGGGCCTGATAAACTATTCTTGCCTCTTCCTGATGACACCCTGAGGCTCCACCCCACCACAAAGGTCTGTGGACTTGTGTTGAATGGCCTCAGACCCAACAGTGGCACCAAGTTTAAATCTGTATCAGCCTGGTGAACACTGCCCCTTCCTGGTGACTCACTGAAAGCCTACTTTACACAACTCCAGGATTGCCAAAGGCTCTTTCAGTAACAGCTGAACAGGGAGCCAACAGGTGAAGAGGCAGCTGGCCGAAGATCTAAGGTACCGTAGGCCTTTGTCTGACCAACACCCAGGTTTGGTACTGGTGGAAGCCAGCCTTGGTGCAAAGCTTGGTCCTTCCCACGCACACCCAGCCTCAGCAGAGGTAGCTATACCTTGTGGATCACTTTATAGCTCCAAAAAGATTGCCCAGGATCAATCACAGGCAAAATCTGATATTGACCTGTACCAGAGTCCTAAGAGGCCCCAAAACCAACACACCTGGGGGCCAGCTTCAGAAAACATCAGAGCAGGGTCCAATTAGCTTCACATGTGGCATATCTAAAGGGAGATCTCAGCAGGCACGAGAATCAGCTGAGGCAAATTCTGCTTCATGGGGTCGGTACCTGCACAGCAGGTCATACATTGTGATCAGGGTCAGTCCGCACAGTCACCAGCCTTAGGGTCAGCCCCACGCAGACAGGCCAATAGCAATTCAGACTCAGCTACAACAGTAGGGCTCACATGACCCACCAATGGACATCCCTGGAACAACCAGCTCAGGTCATCAGGGAGACTGCATCACTGGGTCCCACTGGACACCTACTACATAAGGCCACCCTACCAAGATGGGGAGACATTGCAATTCTACCTAATACACAGAAACAAACACAGAGGCAGTCAAAATGAGGAGAAAAACATGCCCCAACTCAATGGGCAAAAACTAAAACCATTTCCCCTAAGAACAGGAACAAGAAAGGAATGCCCCACCCCTGTTCTACATAGTACTGGAAGTACTAGCCATAGTTATCAGACAAGAAGAAATAAAAGGTATACATATTATAGCCATAGCAATGAAGATGAAATAAAAGGCATAGACAAGAAGATAAAATAAAAGGCATAGACAAGAAGATGAAATAAAAGGCATCCAAATTGGAAAAGAATAAGTAAAACTGTCATTATTTGTAGATGACGTGATATTGTACATAGAAAACCCTATGAACTCCATCAAAAATCTACTAGAACTAATAAATGAGTTCGGCAATGTAGCAGGATACAAAATTAACACCCAGAAATCTATGGCTTTTTATATACCAATAATGAACTCACAGAAAGAGAAACTAAAAAACAAAAACTAAAACCAAAAAAAAAAAATAACAAAAAAACACAATTCAATTTACCATTGTGACAAAAAAAAATTAAGATACCTAGGAATAAATTTAACCAAGGAGGTAAAGGACCTATACTCAGAAAATTACAGGATGCTGAAAAAAGTGATAGAAAGGAAGACATAAACAAATGGAAGAATATATTGTGTTCATGGATTGGAAGAATCAACATCATTAAAATGTCCATACTACCCAAAACAATCTATAGATTCGATGCAATCAATATTAAAATACCAATGACATATTTCACAAACCTAGAAAAAACTCTCCAAAAATTCATCTGGAATAAAAAGGACCCGAATAGCTCCAGCAATCTTGAGAAAGAAAAACAAAGTTGGAGGGATCACAATACCAGATATCAAGCTATACTACAAAGCCACTGTTCTCAAAACTGCTTGGTACTGGCACAAGAACAGACATACCATAGACCGATGGAGCAGAACAGAGAACCCAGAGTTCAACTCAAGCCATTATGCTCAATTAATATTTGACAAAGGAGGCAAGAGTATACAATGGAGTCAAGACAGTCTCTTTAATAAATGGTTTTGGGAAAATTGGACAGATTAC